AGAAAACCTCCAAATATTCCAACTTGTGCCACAGAAGTGGACGAACAGAAACGTACAGAACCGGATTAGCAGACGGCTTTGTCAACTGCCTCTGCTTTCATGTGAACCTGCCTGGGTAATTAAAATGTGTAAACCGAGACCAATTAGTACACATTTCTCACTGTTCTGAGTTCCCACTCTGTAATCTTCACTCCTCAACTAGTCATCCTTTCCTGATTAAACATAGCTACAAAATGTAGAATCCTCCCTAACATACCACTTAATAAACATTTTAATCCTTATGATTAAAAAGATCTTAATACCACAAAAGTGAAAGCATGGACTCAAGAGAACCCCAGAAGCTACAAATAATCAGGATAGTTGACGCATTAACACATTTCTGCCTCGTCTGCCTCCACTAACAAGTACTGTTTCAAACAAATCACCGGCTTCTCAGTGCTGCTTATGCCTGAACATCATTACCTTTTTATGTAGTTTATAGCAGAAGTCTTGTTATACTGTGCCTTGACAAATAAATTTCAGATGCATGTGGTTGATGTCTGAAAGAAAATACTTACAACTTACGTACCTCAGCTTCACAGCTATCAATCTGGTTAAGTCTCTCCAGTCATCTTTTTAAAATCAAACATATGTCACGTCACATTTTCATTAGCAGGGATTTTATGTGCCATCATGTTACTCTTTCGCCAAATTTGTTTACTTTTCTCTGAAGGTTTCTACAGAGCAGGGTAGTACTGATCACTGCAATGTAACGTAACCCTGGAACACAATGTGTTAAAATAATTCTCATCATGTGCATTCCATGATGAAACTGGTGTGAAAACATAATAAATATTCAGCCTAAGAGCTGGTTAAAGAAAGCCTCTGGAATTTCAGGCTCACATGCTTAATCCTATAACCTAGATTGCCTCTGTTTATTTATAGGAGCTTACCATGCAAACAATTTTATTTGCTACTTGTAATTGGAATATAAATCTACTTCAGAGTTCTAGAACTCCATTTCAAAATCAGTTCACATTAAAAGAATCCTCAATATCCCTAAGTAGACCAGCTAACTGATGTTTGTAAGATTACAAAATATTTTGAGCAAGTTTATGAAAAGGCACTATCCTTCCCTTTCCTTTGCTCTGCCCTTAGTGCATTTGGTATGCCATGGTTTACGTTCTTATTTTATAGCTTCTGCATTCACATACTCCTGTCATAGTCCAAATTATTCCTTAAAACCTTATTCTTATTGGCATGTTCAAGGAATTCCAGCCTGCAGATTCTGCTCTGCTCTTACTGTGCCCAAAGAATTTGTATTGGAAGATGAGCTGGAAGAATGCCTTTACTAAAAAGAAACACTCTGCCAAGAATATTGGATCCTGTGTTCCTCTAATAAACAATCTACAGTGCCTGAATTTCATTTGGATAAGGGATAAAAAGTGCTACTCATAGTAATATATTAAGACAGCAAAGTGCTGTTAAGACTGAAGCAACTATTCACACCTACCTAGGTTCAATGGATTTCTGCACAAATGGTTTTGAATACTTTTAGTTTCACCTTTCCATTAGTGGACACACGATTTTTTTTTTTTGTCAGTAATACAAGACTAACAAAACACTGAGTTTTCTTGTGTCAGTGCAAACTCAGATGACACAGAGGTGGGATCCTGATTTTGTGTCCATGTTCACATGCCTTTCTGACGAGGCTGTAAATTCCAGGCCATGTTCACGAGCAGGAGGTGGCTTGCCTCCACACCTACGCCATCTTTTCATGTTGGGGGCTAAAACTCAGACTCAGTGCAGGTAGTTGCATTTGGCTGCTTCTGCAAGGACAAGAATAAGGCCAGGTCCCACCCACATGAGCAGGATGGAGTCCTCCCACCAGACCACGTTGCCAAAGTTTCCAAAATAAGAAAACATATCAGCAATTTGAATTTATTACTCACGATGCAAGTTCTTCATGAGAATGGGATTCCTTCTAATACTGGTAAATACAGCACTTCTGACAGAACTACACCAAAGCAAAGAATTTTAAACAGAACAACTAGGACACAGAAACAAGAGAAGTTAACGCTATTTATGATGCCTTATATTTCACTGGAGGGGACAATGGGAAACCTGAGTGATGCATCCTAAGAGTCATTATTCATCTGTGTAACGAACACAGATGCAATGCACGCTAATCCCAGCAGATATGCTTTGGGAAAGGAAACTTAAGTCAAAGTGGGTCCTACAGAGATGACACTCTGCTTTTGCCACAGAGCTCTCTCCAAATGTGACCAGACCTCAACAGGTGTCACACAGCTTTCAAACTATCTCTGGATAGATAGGAATTAAGCATGAGGAACAGGAAGAAGCATCTGTGGACTGTTATTCAGGAAGAAAGTAATTTTGATTCAGCAAAGTGAGGTTATAAGGACACGCAGCTCTCTACACCAGACTTAGTCCTTCAGGAGGCCCCAGAGAGCAAGGCAAATGAGAATAAGCAAATACCTGCTTCAAAGAGCTAACAACTCAAATATAAAAAGAGTTAAGAATACAAAAAGTACAATAGATCAATACAAATGGGGCAGGCAGGGTAACAGCAAGAAGCAGTGAGGAGCAGTTTTCATGTATCAGTAGGTCAATCACGGTCAAGTTTTTGTAGGCATAACAGAGAGGGTTTCAGAGGAGGAAAATGAGTTAGCGTTACAGATGTTCATGTCCAGGACATGCAGCTTATGTCTGAGATGACACAGATGAAGGAGTCAAATGTAGGTTGATTCCCTGTCAAATGCAAGGCTACAAAACCCTTTAGCGGCCGTATCGTGAAAGGATACAAAACAGGTCAGATTACAGTTGCCAAAGCCAAGGAAATGATGTTGCAGTAATCGAGATGCAAAATCAGTGACAGCTTTGATGAAAGCTCAGCAGTATGTACAGACAGGAAAAGCTGTCATGCAGACAGAATTAGCAGGATTTTGAAAGAGAGAGGAAGAACTGTGAGCTGAAGGGAACACCCAGATTACTCATTCAAATGAGAAAGCAGCACAGCAGCTGGAAGGGGGCGTCGCGGGAGCCCTTGGGCAGATTAAGATTTCCAGGTTAGCAATGTTTTTTTTAAGGCAAAACAGAGATGAGGGAATGTCAGAGAGGCATTAAGATTGCAGGCTGTACAAAAGCTGATGGCTGTTAAGTGCAGATGCAGATCTACAACACTTTTTACTCGATTTTAGAAATCCCATGCAATATTTAGCTTTGCCTAGACAACCACTTAACCATTCCAGAAAGGCTGGGCTTTACGTTGTGATCCAATGACTGAAGCAGTTCATATTTTACCACAGATTACTCAAGCAGATTTCCACAGCTCATTAACATTTCCCACTCGTTAACTTTCAGTTTAGACTAGTGGTTGTACTTCAGTGTGTTTCCAGTAACAAAGTTTCTACCACTGCCTTTTCACACTTTTCTCTACTCGATGCCCCGATTACTCTTACGACAACAAGCTCTCATTTCATGATGCTTGGATGTTCCAATAGCTAGCAACAAGGGCTGCAACTTCTGATCCATCTGTACATACTGGTTTGAGGAACATGTTGGATCCAGCAATAGGAATCTGAAAGACTGAATGGCAATGCAGAACTCTCAGTTTTCTGCACTTCTTTCTTCATCCCCATTACTTTAAAAAAAAATCAACCGTGTGTATCAAGTAAGCATCAATTATTTCCCTAAACCCTTATGTTTTCCTGCAATTGATCACACACCCCAAGTTAAAAGCTTTGTCAATCCTTGCTATTTATCAAGCTTGCTGATAAAAGTACACAATCACAGACACAACCACAGACACAGACACTAATTAACAACATTCCATTGTGCCACAAATGAGAAATGCCAAGAGATCTACCTTACCCTGCCCTGCTCCTTACACAGCTCCCAGTTCACAAGCACACATGCACACAGACAGCAGGCAGACAACAATATACAAAGATAATGAATGGGTCTCTAGTGTTTCGGATTTACCTACAACCGCGTCCTTCCATCAGAACTTTAAGAGTGTTTTGCTTCTGGCACTAGCATTAGCAATCCCACAATAAAGACTGTTAAGAAAAATGTTGCTCAACATTAGAGATAGTTAGAAACAGAGTTAGAAAAATCTGGGTGCTTCCCAGAAGCACTCTGCAAATTACTCATGAACTACTAGATATTTTACAAACTGTGCATCGCATAGCTGCTGCCAATGGGTTACGCAAGTCTCTGACCAAAAATAAATAAAACAAAACAGAAAATGAATATCCTGATGAAAAGAAGATTGTGTACATCTCGTGCATCAAAGACGCAAACTGAATTTGAAATAAAGGACACGCATATGGAAAGTGCACATATTTGGGGGGGGTTGGGGGGAAAGGGTTAAATGCAGATAAACCTCTTACTGGTGAAAATAACATTTGAATTTAATTTTATATCCAGACTATCCGGTTCACAGTCCTTTCATTCCTACTGTGGGAAAATGGGAACTGGAAAAAAAGTCCCACCAAGGAGGCTCTTTGCTTTCCCTCCTCTTCCCTTCCCCGCCGCCCCCCCCCCCTTTAAAAGTCTGTGATGACCTAAAGAAAATAAAAAAACAAAACTCCGTCCAGTATTTTAAAATCAGCTTTCCCTTGGGTCTCAAAACTGCATCTGTTCCATGTGCACTGAATTCAGCAAAAAGATGACTAAAACATCAGTCTGCAGTGAGGGACAGCAATATATAAAAGTAAATAGAAAGAAAAAGGAATTTAAGAGGTTAATACGTATGACTTAAAGGTACTGCTTGGTAGAGTTAACTTCTCTTTCAATGTTTCTAGTTTGACTCTTTTCTAGACCATTTTTATACAGTTTATACTAGAGCTAATCGTCCCAAATACAGTTTATCATTTAGCGTATCAACCATTTTTATACAGTTTATACTAGAGCTAATCGTCCCAAATACAGTTTATCATTTAGCCTATCAATTAGGGCTTTACAGGGGCATTTCTATGTTCAGTCTGTAATCTTACCTTGTAGGCAGCTTGTCTCATAAACTGCTTTGCAGGTTGCTTCCAAATAGCAGGCACTGTAATGACCCATCTTACTTCAGTGTTTTCAAAGTCCGAGCCTCCTTGGTCACTGAGCTCCTAAATAAAAGGAAAACAGAGGTGAATGCAAAATGACGGGTGTCAACTTTATAAGAAAACATTATTTTCTGCTGGATCCAGTAACAGTAACTTTCTCTTTTCAATTTTTTTCCTGTTACATCTATGCTACAAATCAGAATTATTGCCAACCTGTCAAGAATGCTTTACTGCGCCAAAAGCTGGGATTAGGGTTGATGCCTTCTCAAGGAGCCCTATAGAAAAATTTACTGCTTAACATGAAGTAGAAAAGTTAGTTTTTCCAAAAGCAACTCATGCACTGCTGAATATTACAGAACATTTATGCACATTCTTAGTCATAGTGTGGGATTTGTTGTTAGTTTGAAGAATTCACACTTGCATCTTGATTAATACACAGAAAAATATTTGAGGTTATCACTGATGAACGTTATGTTTTACAATCTGGATTTTTCAATGACTTCTTTATACACCACTTACCTTTAAATCAAATTTTTACAACTCAGTTAACAAGGGGAAGTTACAGTTAAACCCTTTAAAAAAAATGACTGATTGCTCCTTGAAAATTTTGCTTTAAGCAAACGTTCAAGACTAGTTTAGTTCTTTTATTTTTCTTTTTTTTTTTGCCTTAAAAAGAGGAAAGTCTGTATTGCATTTGCAAATTAGGTGATACACTGACATGTTTTGGGAAAGATTCCAAGTAAAATGTCATTACCATATGTCCTATCTAAATCTCCATCCAAACAGGGAAAGGTTCAGAAAGGTGAACAACGGGCCTTTAGAACGCAAAAAAATGTTTCTGCATGTGCTGTGCCAAGGTGTTGTGTTTGTTTAGCTATGCTGCAGTTCAAAAATCCATGCTAGAAAAGTAGTACCTTTATACTGCACAGGGCACTAGGAACGAACAGATTATAGTCCAAAGTAACAGTTCATCTACATTGCTTGTCTAATTAGTTTCAGCATGCACTCACAAATCACAGGGATTTATTTATTAACATCAGGAAAGGATGTAGCCCTGAACAGGCAGCACAGCAAATACATGGGATTCATATAGCATTCATATTCACTAAGAATTCCCCCAGCCTATGCACACGTTCAAGTCTGTGACTCCAAAATCAACCCCAAAATCTAGTTAAATAAGTCTTTGACAAGATGAGGAATTTGAGTTGTAATTGTAGGATTGTTTCTCTGTAACCATAAAGAATAGACTGAGATCTCACAGAGAATAAATTAAACCCATTCAAAAAAGTAGGTTAGTTTTTAACAACAAGGCTATTTTAAACAATGCTTGCTTGGATGAATATTCTGATTTGACCCAGCAACTACCATGCATATGCTGACATTATAGTGGCGCATTTGAAGCCAATGGGTACTTAACTCACAGTTGACTGTTTACATGAGATTTTAAATCTCAAAAACTGTTTACTGGGGACATGTATTTCACAGGAGAATACGAAAAACAATCTTGTGACCCAAGAAGAATATTACAAGAAATTAGTATTGCAACATTTCAAATGGGAGATGGAAAATAAAATGCATTTTCCCTACCAACACCAGCCACACTAGGGAAAAAAGAAAAGGAAAAAAAAAAAGCAACATAAATGTCCATCAGAACACAGTATGAATTTACAAATTAAACCCCTAACAGATTCCTGTCTTACTGTTTGGTTCTCCCTAATGCTTGTTGGATTTTCTGCATAAACGTGCATCCAGGATCAGGGCAACCAAATAACATATCACAGCACAACAACATGAAATTCACCCCTGCAAAGGGTCAGCACAGGGCCAAAATACCATAGCCTAATTGCAGCTCTTTGGCACACATACTACAGTTTAACTGTGTAAAACAGAATAAAGGAGTGCTGTGCAAAGGTACTTGAGTTGGTTTGGGTAATGGAGGCTATATATCTGTGCTGGTGCAGAATTCCACATAGAGGTACAGAATATACTGTACCTCTCAGTGCAATCAAGCGGCCTTTACAGATCATTGCACTGGCAAAATTACACTATTTCCACCAGGTTAGTCAGCTTGTACACCTCAGCAGGTCATCTTTGTACCGACTCACAGTGAGATTCAAGTCACCAAATTATAAATGAGCTTTTAATAATCTTTCTATTACAAAATAAATCCAGCTCATCCAACTTCCCTTTGCTTAATCAGTGAAGACAAAGTCAGGTTGAGGCAGGAGGCATCAGCAGGTGCCCATCCTATTGCGTTTCACAGTGCCAACTCTTTAACATAAGAGAGAACCTTGCGTGAACACAGAACAATCCATCATCCCAGCAGCAGAAGTGTAGGGGACGGGGACAAGACCCAGTCTCAAATTTAATTCCTGAGCTTCAGCTCCTGCACTTTTAAATTTTCTTTTCAAATCAATGTTTTTTCATGAAAAAAAAGCAGTAGAAAATATTTAAACCAGTAAGAAGATATTCAGAACTCTGCATCACAGTGATACGCTTACTATTATTGAATCCTGGGCAAGGGGAAATCACTTCAGGCTATTGTGAGCTCCCAGAGTCCACAGCCTGCCTAGAGTTTCTACAGCTGCCTTGCTTTGTTTACATCAAATACTACTGAGGTCAAAGCTTGGCAAGGTTAGCAGTGTTAAGCTCACATTTATATCAGCTATAAATACTGAAAATCTAGATAAGGAAGCATTACCCTACCTTTAATGCCTGTTCCTTAAAGAATTGCAGAGCGTAAGCAAATATCTCAAGTGCTTTGACTTTTTTGCCATTTGCAGCTGTCAGGTCTGTCTCCATGGTAAGATTCTACATGAAAGAAAATAACTGGAAGTTATTAAAAGGAAAAGGTAAACACGAAATTAATTCCCACTGCTTGAGGAAAGGGAATTCTTCATCCATCTGGCTAGGAAAAAGTGACAAAATTGTTCTGAAGAGGATCTAACTCATAACTTGAATTTCCTGGAGCATGACATTTGCCGCTTATTTTAGACTTGGTTTTTAAACACCTATCATGTCTACAAATAACGACAGGCAAAGAGAGAAATATGGACTAAATATTAAATAATTACAACAAATGTATTTGTAATTAATTGCAACAAATCTGCACATGCAAGATATTTAATCCAAGTTAAGAGTTAAAAGCATAGATTTTTGGCTTTCCACCAACACATGAAACCAGAAAACACCTCAATACAGAAAGTACTGGCCAAGTCCCAAAACTCTAGAATGGCTTAGTTTAAAAGACAAAAATATAATCAGTAGGAATAAGGTCAAATTAACAGCATGATTTGCACTTGCAGTTTTGACAATGAACTCTGAGTAAATTTGCTTCTCTGCACTAGAGTTCAGCACAGCTCTTATATTCTACTTCTGCTTTCTGAGTAAATTTATAGAACAAACCGACCTCATGGAGAACTCCCTAGACAGCTATGAATTTCACCCAGGAAAATGAGGACATGAAGGTCTAAGCAAAGCAGATATTGAACTTCTAAGATCTAGTAAGAAGGCTGGCAAAATCTGCTCACCAAATGGAGTGAGAGGCAAAATGAATCATAATGTCAACTGAAAAGTTTAATTTACTTTATTTACTCTCTAAACTTAGAAATAGAACTGCTTCACATCTAGTTCACAATCTTTAGGCAAAATCTATCACTGTCCACAGGAAGAAGATTCGAGTAGCAAATGCACAATTATCCAAGAGAGTTAGTTATTACTTACACCGGTGGTATGTAGCTTCATTTTAAACTTTTCAAAATACAACCAGTGCTTTGATTCAGTGGGATCCAAGTCATGGTAGAAATCTCTTGCTGCATACCCAAAGCTATGAAACTTTCTCTCTGGTGTTAGGAGGATAGTAGTTGGTGTCTTCTGACTGGATACACCTGGATCTCCACCTTCCCATCGTCTATCCAACAAATGAAACAGCTTCAGTAAGTGATACTAATGTTAAGAGCAGCAGAAAAAAAAAGTATATCGTGAGAAAAACAACCTGGTGGCAGACTGCACAGACTGCTTTCCCCTCCAAAGACACTAACTGCAGTCCTTACAATACCAAAGTCAAGTGTTTTTATTCACATCCAAGAAAAGAGGACTGTAATTTTAATTTCAGACAATTCAATAAATTTTGCAGTTAGCTGTATAATTTTTAAGGACATAATCATACTCTGTCTTTGATAAGAATACAGGTTCCTTAAAGTAAGCCACACACAATTAACAAGGAAACAGTATTACACTTACATTTTCAAACTAAACATACATATGTAATAAATATTGTAAGGAAAAAAAAAAAAATCAAGTAATTATGCAAGAATAGTATAAATGAAAACCCAAATCCTCAAAATAGCCTACCCAATTGTCAATCAGACTTCATGCAAGCTTACTTGTATGGGATATTTTTCCCCATTTTGAAATAGGGACCTGCTTAAGTCAGCTGAATGCCACTGCAGAGAAGTTGATTAAATCCCTGTTTCTGTCACAGAATGCTCTCTGAAGCAAGACAAGTCAGTTCAACCAACACCTCTTCATGTGCCTAATTTCCTGGACACCTGAAACTCTGAAGACATGCTCTGCGCTGCACTCTCTACTCACCTGAAGTTGATGGATTTTGTGTGTTAAATGCCCAAAATGCTGTAAAAATTTTAGTCTGTCAAAAATAAAGCAGATTCCCCCAACCCCCAAGTATCTTATAGGCACCAAAACATTTCCTTCACCACCATCCATTAAAACAGTGAATAAAACTACCCTATCTTATCAAGATTGTGAAGGTATCTTCAGGAAGACCCAAGAAGCACAAAGGTATTGAGGCAAAAGCAACACAAGGCTTCTTTCACAGAATGGATAAGGAAATAAATAAGAACATCGAATATGGGAACAACCATTAAATGAAAAGCACCGTGGGGGGGGGGCGACAGGGTCAGACAGTAGAAAGTTGTACCACAGAGACAGCTGTGAGCATTCTTGTCTCTTCCTCACTTCTCAAAAAAAAAGCAGAATGGAAGAAAAAGAAACTTGCATTACTGTTCCCCCTCGCCCCATATACACATACTTTCAGCATGGGAAACAAACACTTACCAGACAACATTTTCTTAAAAAAGCATCAGTGGAAAATCTGCTTTATGCTATCAGCCATAATCATAACGCAGCTCAAACAGGAGCCAAGTTAAGATCACACAGGCAACTGCATTCATTATTAAAACACATGTTGATTGCATTTTTCTAAAGATAGCAAAACACACTTCCATAATATACGACTGCCAAAGTCCTTGTTCTGAAGCACAAAAAGATTGCCTTGTTCTGTGGCACTTGTTTATGTGACATATGAAGATTATGTAGAAAAAAATCTTCTTTTCCATTTCACACTCAGAAACAGTTGAACCAACTGAAAATTAATTGACTGCCAGACCAAGGCAGACAACTGAGATGGAGAGTTTCAATCTAAGGGGTTAATACTTGGCAAAGTAACAAGGAACGGGATCTTCTGAAGTGCTGGGAACCCTTCAGACCATTCAGCTAAATCAAAGGGAACAAAATCTGCCCCTTTTTGCACCAGCAACAGCAATAGCAGGGAATCACCACATGTCTATGAATTTACTTCAGTATACAGGGAAATTCCACTGCTCTGAAAGCAGAAACAGTATGATGAGAAGTGGAATGATTTCCACCTTCATCCACTCAGAAAAAACTTTCCTAAATCTCCCTAGTCACCCTGCTCAGCCCCTAAGCTATTATCAGCTGGCAAGGGCTCTGCTCCAGGTCATTTCTTCCAACCTGCTGCTAGACACGTACTTTGTCAACTCCAAAGTCTTTGAGTAGGTGTTACAGCAAACATATGGTTCCAATGTGAAGAAGTTGGGATCCCACAGCCCATGAACAGAAAACACTGCCTATTTGACCAGAACGTTAAATCCCACGCACCCGCTGCAAGCAGAGAGGAGACAGACTGGTATCGTTTTCACTTGGAATCATTAATGATTCATTCTGAGTCACCGGTGGGAAATTCCATAAATAGGATATGGCTAATAACAATACTTCTTTATTTTTCATTATGGCTAGGCACATTTTCTCTTTCCGGAATAAGTACACTTAAGGTGCAGTTTAAATGAAGACAAATTGATGCTCAGTGGTATGGGCTGAAATTTTCAAAGCCTCCTAGAGAATTGGATGTTCACTTCCTGATGAGTTTCTGACGGAAACTAGACATGGTAATTGATCCGCAAATTCTAAAGTTCTCAGCCTGTATTACTGTTCAGTCACAGAAAGAGCAATAAGGAAACAGAGGGGGAAGTCTGACTTTACCATTTGCAATCAGAACTTTAAAAATATTCCTGTGTGACATCTTTTTTAGAGAAGCAGCTGCAGACAAAGGTATGTCCATGGTAACTCCTGACTGGGACCACTTTCTCAGGTGGAGCCCTAGCCTCACTCCAGTTAGCGGAGGCCTTTAGTCAGTGGGGCTAGGATTTCAACACCTTCGTTTGCAATTTTCTTTCATGGTCCCAATGATAGTAATAATGCTCTTCTTCGGGGAAAAAAAACGGAAATGCCTATTAAAAGCATGGCCTAACACAAGCCAGCAGTACTCTCTAAATGGTACTGGTAGTGTTAGGTTAACGGTGGGACTCAATGATCTTATGGGTCTTTTCCAGCCTGAATAATTCTAAATGCATGTGGTGGATATTTTCTCAAAGCAGGGTCAGAGCTAAAAAGCTATTCAAGCAGAACCCGAGGTAGATTTCTGCCTAAAATCAGACATATGAGACCAGTTCCTAGGCTGATATAAAGTGGAGTAGCTCAACAGAGCAGCATAGACCCATTTATAGCCACAGAGGATGTGACTGTATATCAAAATGAAAACAGAGACAAGACGAAGGTTAGTGTGGAAAGGATCACAAGGTTATACTAAGGTTAGAGAAATGCCCTTCCTTACACATGAATCTGGCTAACAGACAAAGAGAGTGATCCATGCAGAGTGATGAGAATTTGATCCAGAGCTGCAGCATAACAGTCAAGGAAACGAAGCAGTGGGGTCATCAAAACGTAGCTGAACGCCGCTAGGAGTGTGTATGCAGAAGAAAGGCAAGCACGTGTCTGCCAAAAATTACAATCAAACAGGGAAGAGAAGGAAAAGGAAAAACCTGAAGGTTGAAGTAAAGTTACACAGAAAAAAGACCACATTTTCCCTCCTTCCAAAGACAGGCTGCAATTTGTTTCATAATCACATGCTTTTTTCCATTTATTTTTTCTCCATTTGTGAAATAGTTACATTCAGTTTGTTGTTATTTAACCAGCAGCCAAAATATTTATAACTTCACGTAGGTGCACATCAATCAATAGGAGTTTTTCTAAACTGTTTAAGACCTCGTGCATTCCTTTCAAAGGAGACGTTATTAACTCGTTCTACAGCACCAAACTGTCCTTCATTACGCCTCTGGCCCTGCCCGCTGAAGTGCTTTGCTGAACTCATGGCAAGACTGTTCATATGCATTTACTCAGTCTCAAGGTATGCAGAAAATAGCATTCATTGTAACTTATACTTCTACTCTGGAACAAGAGCCTGAAGGTAACCACAACTATCTTTACAGAAGCCATGAGGAACTAGTAAGAGTTGACAGGTGTGAAGTATTACCTAAAAATGATAAAACAGTAACTAATGTTATGCAATCAAGGTAAAGTCATTCATCAATCACCTAGAAAACACACTCCCAAATCCAAACACATGCTTCAGTCTACTGAAGTGAGTGAGGCTACTCATACATTTAAAGCTAAGCATATGCTTAAAGAACTTTGTTACGTCAATGCTTATAAATGCTGGGCATCACAGCAAATAAACACACACAGTCAAAAACATAACTTTGTGTACTAATTACACAACTAGAATCATGACTTTGCTGACACTACAGTCAAACTTGGTACTAAAGCCTTATATGTTCACTCTTTTCCAAAGTAGGTAAACCCATCTTACCCTTCATTGAGACATTTACAGAAAAGCAGCTTTGTTACAAGGCAGTCAGAAATCTATATGTCTGGAAAGGATCAACACTAAGGAGGAAAGGTGGAAAAAATGTTAGGAAGCAAAGAGGACCACGTATCATTGGTATGCTTTATTTTAATGTAAACATTCTCGAGTGCGGGCGGGAAGTTACATTTACTCTGCTGAAATATTTGTAAATTATCCTACATGTAAGCCTCATTGTATACAGAGTTCGAACGTCTTAATACCTTCTGAACTACTGAAGCCTTATTTTGATACATATACCATTCTTTTCATTGAATTTCATTATTTCATGTGTATTTATATATACATACATATATATATAAAA